ACTACCACCACCACCACCACGACTATTACCACTACTACTACCACCACCACCACCACCACCACGACTACTACTACTACTACTACTACTACTACCACTACTCTAATGAAACCGTTTTCCAACTCTTTTACGAAAGCAAGGTCCGGCTACAGCTCGAGCAGCGAGGCTGCGTAGAGGCCTCCGTTCTGGCGGAGTGGTGGCTTCAGCAGGCCACGAAGAGGGCATGAGCTGAGCTTTTGTTGGGCCTTATAGGAAATTAATGGGTTTTTGTAAGCTTTTGAAGAGTTTTGGTGGGTGTCTTGTGTTTAAAACATTTACAGGGTTTTATAATTGAGGGCTCTAGAGCTTTGACGAGGATTTGGTACAAGAGCTCTACAATGATTTTTTATCCTGTTTCTTTAAGGAATCTACAACGGTTCTATATCGACAATACGGGCATCGTCTGTTTTGATGTATACCCCTAGTACGGTAACTGCCGATGTAAGTCCTTCTAACCACCGCTCCATGCAAGCTTCACGTACCTGCCACCCCGAAGCCGGAATCGCTGTTCCTTGCTCCTAGCCCCCAAGCCCGCAACCCTCAACCCGAAGCGACCTTTGGACACCAACAAACCCTCGCAGAACTTCGTCCTGCTGTCAGTCTTACACATGTAATCCAGAAGCGCTACTCCCCGTGACACTAATCTCTGTAACAATGAGAAGCCCAAGACCCTAAACTAATTTCCTAAAGCTTCAGCACTCCAAAGCACTACCTCCCTCAAACCCCCAACCACAACACCTCAAAACTGCTTCAACTTCGTAAAGGGGCCGCCAAGAAGCCTATTAAAGCCTTAAGCCCCAAACCCCTAAATCCCTAAGCCCTTAGACCATAAACCCTAAAATCTAAACTCGCTAAAGCCCCCTACATCCTCCGCCCCTGGAAGGCGAAAGGCCATGCCATCGAAGAGTTCCTGCAGTCTCTGGCAGGCGGGTTCCGTTTCCGGGTTTTGATTTTTTGGGGGGCATAGGTTTTAGAGTTGTCTGTGTGAGGTTTGGTTTGAAGCTTGAGGGTTAAAGGCTTAGATTTAAGGTTAAAGTTAAGGGTTTAGGGTTTAGGCCTCGAGGGTTTAAGGGCTTAGGATTTAAGGATGCCTCAGGGTGTGTTTAATGCTTAGCTCCAGCCTGTGAGTCAGCTACGACGGGCACAGTACTGTGTTTGCAAAAAATCCCCGACCGAGGAAAGGCATTGATGCGCTCAGGCTCTTGATTCAGGTGCAAAGTTGTTGGGACTATACGCGAAGCTTGCGGTCAAAAGGCGCTTTGTATCGTGCCAGTGCAAGCCATGCTTCCCGAAACGGTAGAGTTGTGGGTTCAGGGCTCTTCTTCCGAAGAACCCCCCATCGCTGCATCCGGCGACCACAGACATGTTCGAAGCGTCAACCCTGAACCAGGTTTAGTGTTTAGGGACGTTTAGGGTCCGTGTGTTTGTTAAGCCCGAGAAGCACGCTCATCCCCAAGCAAGTGCAACTTAACATCACAAGCAAAGGGAACCGGCGCAAAACCCGAAACCACCCCAAACCCAGAATCCCCTGAACCCCAAACCCTAACCCCCGCGCACCCACAGAAAACGCACACCAAAACAATTGGTGGCTCAGGCGATCGTGTGGAGTTGGCTGAAGACTTCGGGCTGTATTGGAGGCATCTAAAACGGTTTTGGATTTCGGATGCTAAGTGTACTCTTGTGTTAGTTCGGTTTGGTTTTGGGATGTCTTTCGTGTAATGCTTGCGCCTCAGGGTGTTGAAGTTAGGGTTTGTGAAACAAATGCAGGATCTTGGATTCAAGGTTGAGCCGGATATTGTCTTCTGGCGTCGAAGATTTTCAGGTGTTTGGGATTCAAAGTTTGAGCTGTTGAGCTATTGATCATCTTTCTCCTTAGCCTCAGTACCCGTTCGGAGTGAAGCTTGGAGTAGTTGTGTTTCGATCGCTCCGTTCCCGCAAATTCTACCGTGCTCTCCGAGCTGCGCAGTTCTCCTGTGCACCAGCAGATTGGAGCAGAAATCTGGGAGCCAGAGCACGGACTGCAGTAGTGCTTCTGCTGGCAGTACCTTCCATCCGAACATCTCCCAGCATATCTCGGGGGCTTGCAGTTTCCGGGATGCACAGGTGCAGTTTGTATCCTACCCTTACTGGTCACTTTTTTGTTCAACTCTCTCTGGCCGCTTTGTAACAGTGTTCAACGGCCTGAGCATTCAGAGCATTTTGGTGGGGTTCTGGGGCGCGCGCAACCCCAAACCCCAAGCCCCGGCCCCTTGCCGATCGGAAGCTTTACTGGGAAGAACCGATGGCTTGTAAATGGTTAACATACTTGGGTTGACTTGGTTTAGCTAAGGAAGGGGTTATATATGAGCTATATAGGGGGTCGATTTGGAGCCCTGTAACCCTGAAGCCTTATACTATAAACAACCTAAAAACATGTATCTACTACACCAAAACCCCTCAGAAACACCAAAAGCCCGAAACCCATATATCACCAAAAACCCTAAACCCACCCGCCAACCCCCTTCGCACAAAAGCTGTTTTTTCTGTAGGCAGCTCTTCGGAAGACACGTCTCCTTTGCAAGCTATATAGCAAGCAAGCCGTGGCATGCAAGCCTTAAAAAAACCCACATGGGACCAATCCCATAGCAAGCGTGGCATGGCCCTTGCGGTCACTGGTCGTTGTACCACCGCCATTGCTCTTCCGAAAACTTTTGGGTGCATCTCTCAGCCGAATGCCTGTTGCAAGTTCCTCGGCAGTCTTTTGTCATGCATTTCTGGGTGCACCAGTGCTGCTGGTCCTGCTTGGACGACTCCCAATATCCTTCATATTCATCGTGACTCTCGTATGGGCGCCCGCACTTGCAGGTAAATCTTCCTATATTTTCAGGCCCTTGGGCTCACACTTTTGTTGTCGCTTTTTGTTCAAGCCCTTAGGCCCACACTGTTGTTCCTCTGCTGCAGTACAGGTTTAAAACACCTATATATATACACATATATACAGTGTGGTTTATCGTATAAAATCTAATGTTCAAAACGCTATGTTACTTAGCTAAAATTTAGCTAAGCCCCCTAACTGCCCTAACTCGTACCAACTTGTTTATTTGTTGAACATACGTACAGCCATTATCTGAGCACTTAGCTAAGTCTCCTAACAATTATATTAAAGTATATTTCTTTATCACACTTATAAGTGGTTTGCATTCTGCATACAACCGAGTTGTATGTTACGTAGAAACATACTTGTAAACTGTGTAACACCTACAAAGCCCCGGTTCTACCCAGTAGACTCCATCATCCCGAAATCTTCCTACACACGGAGCCTTCGATCCCAAGCCTTGAGTCCTACGACCATAAACTTAAACTCCCCTCAACACCCCAAAAGCCGTATATCCCGAAACCCTAAGGGTTGAGTGTGTCCGCGAGCTTCCCTATCTGAATTGCGCAGTGCCAGCTAGGCTTCAGTCCTTTGACCGTTCTGCACCTGAGGGGCCCCTTGAGTCTCAAAGCTGCCCGTTGGAAGGAAAAGAATAGGAGCCGAGCGAAGCCATCTCTCTTCCAGCGCTCTCCGCTGCTTTGCTGTGTTGTCAGTTGGCAGCGGAGCCTCATACGATCAGGACCGTTGGTCGAGCCCAGGAGCTCGGGAAAACCTGCGCACTCCTGTCTTGTGGAAGCAGTTGGTACCGACCTGGCTGGACGGAGAGAGTTTCTGAAGCGACTTAGTGCTAGCAGATCGTGGCGCAAGCGGCTTCACCACCCAATGCGGAGCCGGGCGAAGGCTTTTATCGAGATCCTGATCCCCTGCCGGCTGGAAACATCTCGAAACGGCGAGCGACCCGAGCACACCCCTAACCTTTCCTGAAGGACCTCGAGCTCTGGGAGGCTGTCTCCGACCTCCCGACAAACAAGCGAGGACCAAAGCTGGTGCAGGCCTTGACTGGCCAAGCTGGGGAAGCAGCTCCGCAGCTGGAGGTCTCTGCTCTGCTCGAGAAGACCGTGGTCAAGATTCGGAAGGAAGCATTCGGGCCCTACCAGGAGACGTCGCATCCCTGTGCGACGGAGGCGGGACTGTTCGGCCAAGCCCGCAGGGCGGAGCAAGGCCTTCTTTATCTGCAGTGACAAGGAGCTGGATGCTCGGCTGCTTATTGGCTGCGCTGCAAGAAAGGAACAAGAGGGGCACGGCTTTTTCCGAAGAGGGCGACGAGGCGGCCGCTGACGCTTCGAGAGATCAAGCTGAGAACGCGTTGCCGCGCGTGCGGCCAGATAGGCCGCTGGGCCAAGGAATGCCGGCGGCTCGGTGGATCCACGGCGGCTTCTTCCGCGGCAGCCTCCACCTCGGCAAGGGCAAGCTTTTACTGGGCGTCGGATCGTCCACAATGGTCTGCCTCCTTCCCTACGAGTTCACCTATGGCGGCTTCAGAAGCAGGACCAGCAGCGAGCGGCGCCCAGGAAACATACACCCCTCTGCAGGGTTTCGGTTGCAGGGTCGCAAGGGATAGTTGATGCGGCTGACAAGGAAAGCCTAAGGTCTTCGCTACTTCGCTTGCTAGAGGAGCTCGGGAAGTACGCCCTGAAGGGCATTGGAGCGTCAAGGAATCGGAGGTCAGAGGCATCGGAGGCAAGGCGCAGACACTTGGCGTTTGTGCAGTGCCGCTTGGTCTTGCCGGTGTTTCGGGCAGCCTAGAATTAACGGTTGTTGCTGAAGAAGTTCCCTTGCTCATCCCTGTCAACCTTCTCCGGGCCCTGAATGCATCGGTTGACCTCGAAATCTCCCGCCGTCATGTGCCTGCAGTCGGCGCCAGCTGCGCCATGTGGAGTTCTTGCCGTCAGGCCACCCAGTGACTGGTGTTACCGACTTTGGCGAGGGCTGGCACTTACCTGAAATCTGCACAGACCGTAGAAGCGAGAATAAGTACCGCACTGTGTCGCGAGCAGGGGGCTCCACTGCAGCTTGGCTTCTGGAGGGAGTCGCCCTGATGCTTCGTCGTCGCTCTGGGTTTGCAGGGCAGTCAGCACAGGACCGGGGTTCGTCAGGTGCGAGCACGCAGCGCAACTGGCGCATCGCTGTATGGACAAGCTTACTCTGGGCGCGCTGGCAGGGACTGGTCTCGGAGTGGCTTCCGCTTCCGGTACCTGTCCATAGCGGCATGTCTACTACCAGGCTGGTTGGAAATCATCTTCGACGGGCAGCCTTTTGGAGATCGGCGAGGAGGTGAAAAACCCACCAAAGTTGGCACAGGCGGTCCAGGAGGTGAGCCGCACCGCCATCGAGAATGCGGGCAACTTTCTGGAGTACGAGAGGGCCATGGAAATTTAGGGTGCCTGAACCAGCATGCCCCGGATCCCACAATGAGGGCCCAGACCAGCGCGATCATTTCTGAAGCACGGCAAATTACTCCCCGACTCAAGAGACTCGCGAGGACTGGGAGAAGGCCGTGACATCGCCCAGGGACGCGATCCAGCACATCGACCACTTCTACTCGGCGCTGCTGGAAAGGAAAACCAAGTGCGCGCCAGATGGCACAGGCGGACCATGATCGGCGACGAGGGCAACCTTTTGCATGGCCGCTCCACAGTTGATGGTGCCAGAGTTCTGCGAAGAGCGGGGCCACAGGGTGTTAACAGTTTATTGCGACTGAGGACTTTGTTGTGGTTCGGAGGGGCGGCTTTCTTGCTCGGCGCGATCGCTCTGACTTTTCCTTGGGTGGCCCGCTGCCCGAGAAGGTAAACGTGATCATCAAAGAGCGGGTCCTCTACATCAACGCGGAGTTCAGACGAGGCCCCCGAGGAGCACGAGACATCCACGAGTTTTTGGCCGAGGGCTCGGTGGGCAATGGCGCGCTGAAGCTGGAACCGGATCGCGGCGTGGACTTTGACTGCTGGAAGGTCAGGGAAAAGGAGTCGCCGAAGCTGCTCATACTGAAGCCGAGCTGGCATGTCGTACAGCCCGGGCGCAGCGGCGAGCTGGAGGCACTTTCATGCGTGACACCACCGGCTCCAGGACCATGCGGCAGGACGGGGCGAAACATCTCAAAGGCCTCTGCTGCGGTTCTTCGGCGAGCCATGTGCTGCTGCGCATGAGGGCATCCTCACGAACGCCGCGGACCAGGTGAAGTGTGGCATGGCAAAGGGCCGGGACTTTGACGATTACAAGACGACTGCTGCGCCCGACATCCTGGCAATGCCTTCTGAAGTTGCGAGCGAGATCACCTATACCGAGCTGCCGGAGGGCGAGAGCGATCCGCTGGACATTGTGTTGGGACCTGGCTCTAAGGCACCGACTCGTGCCGAGAAGGAGGCAGTGGGCGTCAGCGCTTCCGCTTCGGCAAGTTCCACTGGCTACAAGAGCCTTGACGGCAGAGACCCAGGCGCTGAACCGAAGCCTGGCAGAGCTGATGTTGACCAAGGCCATCGGGCAGGATCTCCTCGAAGAGAACTTCGACCTGCAGTCCTTCATGGCCGATGTGACCTCGTGCTACAGAAGTCAGACAGCGACAAGATGCTTCGCGAGAGCCTCTTCGTGGTGGACGTCAAGAGTGTCTACGACAACGTGTCGAAGGATGGAGCACAGGCCGCTGATAAGTACACCGCCTTTGAGGTCGCCATCGCACGAGAAAGGGCAGATGGACCCGGGCCCAGATCAGATGGGTCGAGCATCCCCTTGAGTCTCAAAGCTGCTCGTTGGAAGGAAAAGAATAGGAGCCGAGTGAAGCCATCTCTCTTCGAGCGCTCTCCGCTGCTTTGCTGTATTGTCACCTAAGTCCAGCAACCTTAAGCTACCCTCAATGCGGCAGGTTTCGCTTACCGCGAAGCGGTTTAAGCCTTCCTCAGCTCTTCCAACAGCTCGAGGATCGGCCTGGGCTGAGATTCGGTCCTTGGGTTGAGGTTTAGGGGTTTAGGGCTTGGGGGTGGGTTTAGGGGTGTTGGGTTTGTGGATTTATGTTTGCCTGTGGCCCAAAAGACCTACCTGTTGAAGCAGCTATATACAATACTGTAGGGGTTCTTCGAGCGGATCAGTGGATGTAGTTCCTTTAACTGACCCAAACAGTAATGCCTATTGTAGAAGCCTTACATTCTGTGATATAGGTACTCAGGACCCTCTGCGGGGTTTTGACAGCGTGTCAAGCCAAAGGGAAGGGACATTAAAGTAAAACTGAGCTGAGACCAGCAGTTTGCGGGGGTGGCCAAAGACTTTCGCGAGCTTGGGTAGTGCATGGGAGTTCACGGTTTTGGGTTCAGGGTAGTTTTGAAAAGCATACAGTCAGATGTTGCTCTCTGAAGCGATCTAGTCCTCGTTGTCGGCCCGTTTGCGGTTACTTGCACCCCCCATCCTGAGGCTCGGCACGTAGATTTGGCAGTTCGCTAGGTTGCAACCCACGCCGTCAGCGTGCATTGCAGCCCGCCCTTCACCACAAACGCCCAGTGACTCCCAAAGCCCCATGCCCTCACACTAGAAAGCTTTGAACCAAGTTACAAGTCCGAAAAGGAAAGACCTTGCAGGCTGAGCTTTAAACCCCGAACGTTACACCCTGAACCTTGAACTTGAACCCCTCATGTAGTGAGACCCTGAAAGGAGAACTCGGCCCGCTTGGGCATGGACGAGTGCGCCGGTGATAGGTTGACTTGTCACCGCTGAACGGTTGAGGGTTCAGTTTGCGTGCTTTCCTTGTGCCAATAAGGGTCTGGGGAGTGCATGCGGCTGTGAGTGTGCAGGATTTGGGTTCAGATGGATTCGGGATTTAGGATTTAGGTTTCAGGGCATCGAGGCTTTGCTACAGTTCAGAAGTCAGAATCCCTGTCACCCTGCACGGTTGAGGTCCTGTCCATCACGTCGGAATTGTTCTATCCTCAACCCAGCATCTTGCTCGCGCACGTGTTACGTGGCCTACAAGCAGTTTATCCTGGATTTCTCCCCAGCCGCAATCCCAGACCTTTAAGCCCTGCTTTGCTACTTTAGGTGACCCTAAGCCTATTCTTGTAATAGTTGGGTGGGGTCGTCTTTGGTATACATGAAAGGGATCCTGTCGAAATCGATCGTCGGGACCCCAAGCACCTTTAGGGGCTAGGGGTTGAGGACGTTTGGCTGTAGTTGAAGACTCTCTTGTCCCGAAGCCAAGAACGGAACAGTTCGTTCAGTTTGTTTTGGAACAACCGTCACCCAGGCGTGCAACTACCATTAGATCTGTTTTCTTCTTGCTGTGATTATGGAACCATGAGTGTTCAATTCGTTTCATAGAATTGTTGTTGCTTCATGGGCCCAGAATCAGACCCCGCTAGCAAGGACGGGAGTTCGGAGGGAATGATTGCAAATAAAGGAGGTTGCATGCTTCGGGCTTGAAATACTGTAATGTAGTATATGGTATAACAAATATTAAAGGATCAAGTTGGGGAATTGGCAAGTTTAGCATTAAGAGTTGATGAAGGGTTCTTCTACCCTTCCGGTGCTGTTCTTGCGAGGTATACCGTGTCCTAAAGCCTTTCTCTAGTAAAATTAAAGCGCTGTTGCTGCGAGGTACACCGTGTCCCAAGCAACGTTGGAGCAGATTTTCAATAGCATCACCGAAGGCGCTCAGCGTCCTTTAAGGGATCATAGAAGGGTTCCTTTGGGTGTTTGGGGTTGAGGGGCATCTGGGCTCGGCAGGGTCATTTGGCGATAATACGCTTCGAGATCAGGTTAGCGTATGATTTCGGGGTGTGGTGTTTTTGGGGCTTGGGCGTTCAATTGTGTCAGGTCAAAGGTAGGGTTCATAAATCTCTGGAGTTTGAAATGCTTTCAGGTATAGAGTGTAGATACCATGAATCTTAAGCTCTAAGGCCCCTAGCTGCTGTGAGTTCCGTAAACGGAAATGCCTGAATGAGGCAGGGTTTCAACATATGCACCTGCAAACAAATTACCGTTTCAGGACCCTTATTTCGCTAGGTTATTGCTATACTCCCCGTGTCAAAGAGACAACCCTTGCTATTCATACATAGAGCGCTTACCAAGTCATTGCAGTTTTCAAGCTTTGACAACGAGAGTTTCTGATTTGTCATCTTCTGTGTACCTGGGGCAGCAGGATTTGCTGAGGCAGCATAGGTTTAACCATGTACAGCGTCAGAGGATTTAGGTTTAAAGTGAAGGCTCTGCAACGTCCATGTGGTTGACATCGGGGCCTTTCCTAGTGAGGTTCCCGGTGCAACTTCCACAGAGACCCATCATCTCGTGCTGTCAGACACTGTCAAACTACAGAAACGTTTAGGGAGCCAGTACAGCACCGAGGCCGAAATGAGTCTTCCCAACTATTTGTACAATCCTCGTAAGACCGTGCTGCAACCTTGAAAGACCCCTGTATTGCTGATGTGCGGATGAGTGACGGCTCAGGTGTGGACGCTTCTTCTGCCCAGGCGCTCTGCACTAGATCTCGACATTCAGATTTCGGTTCTGTCTTGGTACTTAGGATTTCGGGGTCTAGGGTTTTGGTATTTAGGATCTTGGGGTCTAGGGCTTTGGGGCTTAGGATTCTTGAGTGTAGGGGATTAGAACTTAAGCGTCCAAGTCCTGGTGGAGATTGCTGAAAATTGGGGGTTTAGGGTGTAAGATTTTTATGGAGAAGACACAGATGCCTTGCTGGCAGTGCGACCTCCACTGCCCTAGACGCGCCATTGCGGCGTTCCAGATGCAGCCCTAGGGCTACGATGACCGAACCGGCCTGATACACTGGTTTGGCTGAAGACCTTAATGAGCTGGGGATTGAGGTTTCTGCTTAGAGGTTTGAATGTACACAAGTCCTTGAACAAGACTGTGCATTGGGCTGCTGACGGCTCTCTGGGCATCTTATTCAGCGCGATAGTTTGGGAGCCACATGATCGACAAGTTTCCGCGTGGCGGAAAGCGTGAGTGCTGAAGTCTTGAGAACTGGATTAAGTATGCAAACTACAGACTGCATTCTCCAACGTTCTAGCCTCGGTTGGATTAAGATTGATTGTGCTTGGACTACGATGGCACGGCGCTTCTCCAGGAAATGTGAGCCACAGAACGGGAACAAGCTTTGTTTCCCTTTTCCTCACTGCTCGAGTAGGAATCCAACAGAGGCAGTAGTATTTATTCATGACGTTGCTGCAGCCGCGAGAGTACTGAGTTGCTTGGGGCTCATAACCCTAAACCGTGCAAGCCCTGTGTAGGGTTCAGGGAACTGAAGGTTGGCTCCGATCGATCTTTTCTTTCCTGCTGTCAAAGCTGCGCCCAAAACAGCATGGTCTTGAATGTTGCTTTAGATGCTGTGCCGAAGGGCCCGACCAGCTCTTGCCTACTCCGCTGTCGTCATGAAGGTGGCCACATTTTACGCCGTAGTAGCTGCCCGTGACAACGAGCGGGCCATTTTTCCCGTTAAGGATCTTCGTTCGCGTGATGATGTCTGGCATGGATACTGGCGTGGCTTTTTACTTCACGATGCAAAACTTCGATTCTGAATGCCCAACGATCCCTTGGTTCTCTCGGGTGTTGGCCCATCAGATTGGAAGATGAAGCCTTTGGTTTCAAACAAATCTCATGGCCTGGCTTCCTTGGAAGAAATTGCTGTTTTCTTAATTGCTTTACTTTCCGATTTGTTGTTTGCACTGCATTTCCCAGCGAGCCGGAGGAGAAATATTATTTTGCTGCCGTTTGTATCGTCCATCATTCCGTTACTTTTTATGCACCTACTAGGTTACTACTTGTCGGTGTGCCCCCGCAAGCAATTTGAAATTGAATTGTACAGCTTCTTGATGTTGCGGAAAGGAAGTTAAGAGGCCCCAAGAAGCTATTCCTCAAGATAAGGCAACAGTTGAGCACTTAAGGATTGGATTTAGGGCCTCAGGTTTAAAGTCTTAAACCTTCCGATGCCTCCATAGCCCGAACCCCCAATGCTTAGAAACCCCAATGCCATGACCTCACATGCCTTCTGAACAACCCCTCATCAACCCTCGTGGAATGCTTACACGACTTGGACCCTCATCCAACCCTTAACCTTAAACCGTCCTAAACCCTAAATCTCCACCCCGAAACCCCAGACCCACCCTTACAAAGGCATCGTTTAGCCGCTTAACCGAAGTTCCAGCCCCAGGCCGCCTGAGCATTGGGCAGCAGGCACCGACGGCAGAAGCTGTTATCGGTCCTCAGCGCTTATGCCAAAACAGTAAGCCTTAACGTCCCTTTAGCGGCATATTCTCCTTATCCTTACGTCCTCTATCCACGCCCTGAATCCTGATTCCTAAAACCTAAACTTGGACCTCTGACCAAACCTGCTAGTCTTAAACCGCCAAATTACTCCATGCCACGAAACACTTGATTATGGCTGCTACCTGCACAACCAAAACCTACTTATCTGTAGGGTGGCTGCTACCTGCACAACCAAAACCTACTTATCTGTAGGGTTTCGTAGGGCATATTTATATCTATATATATATACAAGACCGAACAAACAAGTGTGTTATGGCGGTGTAACGCAAACCTTATATCCGTCACCCTATCGTTTAAAGGCTACCCAAGCATTGCCCCCAGATATCCTCGTGCCTCCACTTCAGTTTCAGGTGCCAGCCAAAACTACAAACTACTTAGTGGGAGTGTAGGGCTTGGGGTGTACACATGTAGACGGTAGCATTTTATAGAGACTGAGGTGCGTTAATGTTTGGTCGACGAAATGACAGGATTTGGTAGATGATTCTGTTTTTGTAGGTACCCGAGTTGGGGTCGGGGTTGCCTCCTGCGCGCTGACCGTAGCTCGCATACTGCACTGACCATAGCCAACGCACCCCTTCCTCCAAATACACACCTCGAAAGCTGTAGCACCTTTTTGTGTGGAACAATCCTGGGGTTGGGGATGCCGGCCTCAAACCACTAATTGCCATAGTTAGTGTAAGGTATTCGTGGATACGGGGCTCCTTATGAACATCGGTGATTATGGATTTTGGATTTCATTGTGGAAAGACGAGCAACGAATCAATCCTGAGACATCCTTGTTCTACCTAAATGAGCCGAAAGCTCTTGCCCTTATGCCTTATACTTGCAGCCCTTTTGCTTTCAAAGATGGGAGAAGGTCGAGGTCGTGAGGTTCCCTGTCTCTACATTGCCGAGAAAAACCTTCGTGGGCTTGCAAGTCCTCCTACTACAATGCGGGTTTCAAGTCATGTCGGGTCTTTGAAAACCTGAAGCTTTGGAATAAAAACACCCAAGAAAACCCTCAGCACATGCTTGGCAGTCTGGCTCGCTTTAGAGTTCGGGGGAAGTGGATAGCTTTTTGTTGTGCATGGATGGTTGTCGAAAACTTGATTCTTGGTCCCACAGCATGTTTTGGTTCAGGTTTACACATGCAATTCAATTATACACGATTGCTACTTCGACAACTGCCCACGTAGGGTTCGCGACAGCGTTGCTGCAGCGGCAAAAGGTGCGCCTGGGGACCTTTCATTTCGACCAACTTAAGTCCACTTTCAACTGCTGTAGTGTATGTTTTCTGCAGATGGTTCCATCTTTGGGAACAAGATTGGGTAGGTGTGGGTCTTGACAACATGACCGTGACGACCACGAAACAACACTAAGAATGCACAAAGCATGTACTGAAAGACTTCACGAGCACAGCCAACGTCTTGTCATGCCCTGCCGAAAATGCTTGTCATGAGATTCAGAATGAAGTGCAGTAATTGAGGGGTTCAACGCTGTAGAATTGCGCAAATCCCAGCAAAGCCAAAAAAGACAGAACATATGTTGTTATGATATGAGGCTGGCCAACGAATTATTTGTCTGAGATTTGCACAAGATGAAGAGCCTGGATGAGGTTTCGGCTTTTAGACGAAATTGAAAGATTGCGCAAAATTTTCCGATAACATAAATTACAAGATTTTTTTAATTCACTAATTTTAGGTATTTTGATATTTCAATTCGTAATATGAGTAAAAGAATAATCTTTCGTTCTCGTGCTTTTCGATCTAGTTTTTAGAAAAAATAAATTGCAAAAAAATCGTCATTTTCTTCTCAAGAATAAATAAGGGTTGAACTATAGGAGTTTACAATAAAGTTGTTTTACGAGTATGTTTGTATAGGTTTATATATATTTTTTTTTGAAATATATTTTATAAAAATAATATACTTAAATAATTATTTCTCTAAGATTCTAGAAGACTACGAAAATTCTATGATTTTTTTTTATTTTAAAATAAGATCTTGGAACTGCTAATTTATAAGTTATATTGTTATAGATTTACTACTTGTCGTGTCGATAGTGCCTATAATTACAAAATTAAGGTAGTCTAATATCTTATTCTTTTGGTAGATTTATTTCTTCGTTATATTCATAATTGGAGTTATGCAATCTAAATATATAATGTATATATTTTTTTTTGCTTTTGATAGGTCGTAGTGAATATACCGTATTCTTCGGTGAAATGCTTTGGCCGCTTAAATATTTTTATGATTCTAGCCATTAATAAGAAAATTATATTTATGCTAATCTTGGAACTGGTAAGATTTTGAATAATAATAATAATAAAAAACAAACTCTATTGAATGAGTTTGACAATATTTTTTATAAAAAAATTTGCAGCTTCTTCTTATTATGAAACTAGTTACGATTGATTTTAGAAGTGATTGTTTCCAAGAGAAAACATCTTTTTCATGGAGGGTGCTCATTGATTCTCTAGCAATGAGTAAGGAAATGTTATTGAAGGATTGTATACTGTAGGGCAGGGTAGGGCAGGACACTGAAAAGCCAAAAATTCGAGATTTTGGCCAAATCTCTTCCAGGAATGGCCCGGAGGTCCCTACGCCCCTGAAATCTGCTCGCTTGAATCTCTTAGATCTTGGTGTCGAGGAGATTCTGCTCCGGTACCGGGCCTAACATGGACGTTGCTGTCCCCATGGCTATAGACAGGTGGGCAAGCGTATTGGATCGCTTTGCGCCATCGAGGTCGAGGGGCTTAAGCGCCACCTATACCCACGTAGGTGGGCGGCCTATGCCTTGAGTTTAGGGTTTGATGTCGGCGCCAAAAACGTTTGACCGAAAATTTTTGACCGCAACGATTAGACCGAAACGTTTTGACCGAAAGGTTTTGACCGAAACGTTTTGATCGAAACGTTTTGATCGAAAGTTCTTGACCGAATTTGTTTTTTGCGAAGTGTGTTTTGGGATTGCTGGGCTGGGCTGGGCTGGGCTGGGCTGGGCTGGGCTGGGTTGGGCTGGGCTGGGCTGGGCTCCATGCTCTGGGCTCCATGGGCTGGGCTCCTAGGCTCCATGGGCTGGGCTCCCCGGGCTGGGCTCCCTGGGCTGCGCTCCCTGGGCTGGGCTCCCTGGGCTGGGCTGGGATCTGAAAAATTGGTGAACAAGTATGGCAACCTGGTTCTCGGTATGAAAGACGATCTAGTGGTCCCCTTT